ATGGGAGATTATTTTAAAAATTGATACTTATTTCATCCATGTAATGTCCACAATTTATAAAATATTTGATATTCTGTAGAATACATTATTTGGAGATGTATATTTACTCAATTTATAAGTAAATATACATATTAATTAAAATTTTTAATTCCTAGGATCCATGATCAATATAGACCCTTTCCCTGCTTTTGTTTTGAAAAATTTCAAATCTATAGAACAATTGCCAGAATAGTACAATGGAATTCTCCAACCCTTCACAAAGATTTTAAATGTTTTATTAATTATTATATTTTGCTTACTATGAGAGAGAGAGAGAGAGAGAGAGAGAGAGAGAGAGAGAGAGAGAGAGAGATTGCTTTTATTTTTGCTGAACCATTTGAGAGAGAGTTGCAAACATCTTTACACCTCACTCTTAAGAGCAAGGGCATTCTTGTCTTTGCCTCAATATAAGTAGCATATTCAGGAATTAGGTTTTTTTTTTTTTTGGTGCTAAATTAAACATTGAGATTTTATTCGACATTTACAGTGTGAACAAAGACATAAAGAGAGCAAAATTGGTTTCCTGTGATATGTTGTGGCTTATGGAAAATGTGTGGAGCCTGGGAGTCGTGGGGCCTGGGAGTCGTGGGGCCTTGGGCTTGGGCTTGACTTTGCCCTTGATGGTGGGAGTTACCACTGAGGCCGTGCTCGGACACACCCGTATCTAATACTCAGTCCATATCCACAGACGGGCTTCATACCTTGGGATGCATGAATGCTCTCCCCGGTCAGCTCCTGTGGACCTGCTCTTTGTAGTGGCATTTCTCTGTCCCAGGGACCTGCTCTACTGCTATGGTTTCCTTGTTGCCAGTGTGAAATTCCTTCCCCCAGCGGCGGTCATTTTAATTTCTGCACCTTTCCGGAGCTGTCGCAGTTGTTCTTATGCCTTCTAGATAGCAAATCCCACACCTGCTGCCAGTTTCCTAAGGGATTTCATCTCCTCTGGACAGAGCCAGGTCAGCAGCTGTGACTTATCCGAGCATTGACCTCCTTCCTGTCTAGAAAAGCGTCTCACTCTTAGGCTGCTGTAATAAAATACCATAAACTGGGAGGATTACAAAGAACAGAAATTTTGTTTGCACACTTCTGGAGGCTGGAAAGTTMCAGATCAAGGTGCCCGCAGACTGGATGTCTGGTGAGGGCCTGCTTCCTGGGTCATAGAGAACACCTTCTTGCTGTGTCCTCACACAATTCAAGGGGTTAAGGGAGCTCTTCAGCCACTTTGACCCCTTCACAAGGACTCTGTCTTCACTTCCCCAAGTACAACTTCCTACTAGTGTTACCTTGGGGGCTAGGATTTCCACATAGGAATTTTGGGGAACATAAACATTCATACCATAGCTAAAGGAATTTAATTTCCTAGGAAGTTCATGTGTGTTACAGTTGGTCAGGACCACAGGTGTTCCCTCACAAGTTACATCTCCTCATCATGTCCTGATTCCAAGCTCACAGTGATGCCCATCCATCTCCTGACTTTCTAGTGGGTCGGTAAGAGGCACCGGTCAGAGTGTAGGTCAGGTCAACTTGGGCCCAGGTTTGGATCCTCTGTCACAGTGAAGATGTGCTCGGGACCAGGTGAGGATGTCATCTCCTACAGTGTCCTCCTAATAGGACCAGTGAGTCACCTGTCTACACCTGCTGGCCACCAGTCCAGCAGCTTCATCATTACACAAAAACAAAACAAACCGACCCCCACCCCCAACAAAAAGATGAAGAGGGGGTTCATTCACTGGGAGCAGCAACGGTTKGAAGTGTCTTCTCCTTTTATCTTTCTCTCCCAAGTTGCCCACGCAGCCCTATGGCGCCTAGMGAGTCCTTCCACACCCAGTTCCTTCACAACACCTTTCCAGCAGCCTCTTGAGCATGGCTCTCGCCTTTCTCCCCTCCTTCTCTGAGTTCTTTATCCTGTAGATCAGTTACTCCCCCTGGGTCTCTTCCTTCTATCACCCCCCAGCTCATCCCTTGACTCTGATTCTGCCCCAGGAGGGATCAGGGGAACAGATGTAGCGAGAACATGTCCTTCATTCTTAGGGAAGACGGGGTCGGAGGGAAGAGGGAAAGCACTTCATTATTTCATGACTTTCATACAGAATATTCAAAGGACTTGAACACAGACTTAAAATCCCAAGTGAGACCTTTTTTTTCTGATACTGTGCCTGCAGACCTTGTCTGATTTGTTCAGAACTCAGAACTAAATCCTGAGCTCTATCCACCTCTGTTCTTTGTCCCCTCGATTCAAATGTACATACTTGTTCACTTATTTCAAATAATTCATTGTCATGCTCTGAGGCCTTCTCTGTAAACGTACATCAAACAATACTTTTATCAAGAAACAATTCACCCTTTTAAGTGTACAGTTCAGTGTTTTTTAGTGTCTTCTTGGGGTTGTGCAGACATCACCATTACCATTATCAAGTTTCAGAATGGTTTCATCATCCCCCAAAGAAACCATGTACCCGTAGGCAGGCACTTCCCCGGCCCTCCCACCAGCCTCAGACCTCTCCCAGATCTTTCATGTAAGCGACATCCCACAACATGGGGTCTTTGCAGCTGGCTTTTCCCCCTTGGCTTGGCATTTTCAAGGTTCACTCATGYTGTGGCCTGTCATGGTACTCGGTCCTTCTGCTGAGCAGTATCCCATTGCGTGGCCACACCACATTTTGGTTCTCTATACATCACTTGATGGACCTTTGAGTTGTTCCCACTTTTTGGTGGTTACTCAAGGTCTTATGTGGCGTGTTTTCTCCTCCTCCTGTCCTGTCTGTCCTTTGTAGTGCTGGGGATCAAACCCTTGCGCATGTTAGGAAAGCACTCTGCCGCTGCACCTGTGATACAACTAGGAGCAAAGCTGTGCATCTTATGGCAACTCTGTGTTCCACACTTTGAAATCGTCCAGACTGCCCTCCTCAGCAGCTGGGCTTGAGACTCCACATTCCCCAGGTTCTTGCAATTCCTTGTCACTGTTTGTCGATTTTATTTAGCCATCCCAGTGGATATTAAGTGGAAGCTCATGTGTATTTACTTTTTAACTTTTAAAATCTGTTTTAATTAGTTATACATGACAGCAGAATGCATTTATGCACTTTGATATACATAGATAGGATATATTCTCATTTTTCTGAGTGAACCTGTTATAGAATCACATTGAGCATGCAGTCACATATGTTCATAAAGTAATAATGTCTATTTTGTTCTATTATCCTCCCTATCCCCACATCCCCTCCCCTCCACTTCCCTCTACCTAATTTAAGGTAATGCTATTCTTCTCTAGTGCCCCCCCACCCCCGCCTTATTGTGAATTAGCATCCGCATATTAGAAAAAACATTTGGCCTTTGGTTAGTTGAAACTGGCTTATTTTGCTTAGCATGATATTTTCCAACTCCATCCATTTACCGGTAAATGCCATAATTTCATTCTTCTTCAAGACTGAGTAATAATTCATTGAGTACATATACCACATTTTCTTTACCATTCATCTATTGAAGGACACCTAGTTTGGTTCCATAGTTTAGCTATTATGAATTGAGCTGCTATAAACATTGACGTGGCTGCATTACTGCAGTATGCTGATTTTTAAGTCCTTTGCATATAAACCAAGGATGTGTATTTATTTATTTATTTAATATTTATTTTTTAGATGTACACAAACCTTTATTTTGTTTATTTTTATGTGGTACTGAGGATTGAACCCAGGGTCTCACGCATGCTAGGCGAGTACTCTACTGCTGAGCCACAACCCCAGCCCATTTTTAATAGTCATTTGAAAATACTTGTGTCTGTATAAAACTGCTTCAAATTCCTCAACTTGATAGTGGCAAAATAAGATATAAAATTCAGCATTTTAGTCATCACTATGTCTGCATTCCAGTGGCGACAACTACATTCACCATGTTGTGAAACCATCGTCTCTATCCGATCATTTCCAGAACTTTCCCATCATCTCAAATGAAACTCTGTGCCCCTCAGATGATGGCTCACAGCTCCCCCATCCCCACCCCTGACAGCTTCTATTCTGTGTTCCCTGTCTGAAACAGCCCGGTCTAGGTACCTTCGATAAGTGAAATTCTACACTCTTTGTCCTTTTGGGCCTTAGCATGTTTTCAAAATTCRTCCACATTGTAGCGAAGTCAGAATTTCATTCCTTTTTACTGAAATTCTTTTGTAAGAAGCTCTGGTGTAACCTTGATTAATAAACTAACACAGAAAATATGCCCTGAACTCTAGGATACTCTGTGTTTGGGCTTTAAGATCCTGGGACAGCTGGGCACTGTGGCACTGCCTGTAATCCCAGCGACTCGGGGGGAAGCTGAGGCAGGAGGATCAAAAGTTCAAAGCCAGCCTCAGCAACTTAGTGAGGCCCTGAGCAACTTGGCGAGACCCTGTCTCAAGATAAAAAAATTTAAAAACAGRCCGGCAATGAAAGATCCTGGCACAACTCCTTGGTGGGACGCACCACCCTCCCTGAGTCTGCAGAGTCCCTGGTTGCCACCTTCTGTGACTGGTAGTCCTTGTGCAGACAGAAGACTTTTCTGAATAATTCTGATCTTGATTTTGCTCACAGTGATGCAGACTTGCTGAGGGAGCCTTAGGTGGGGCTCCCCTGTAGGACACACAACTAGTAGACAGTTTGCTCTTCTAATGTTTATAGGGATGGTGGCCCACGGGTAGGGCCAGAAAGTGCAGGTTGCTTGAGAGCTTTACTATCTCAATCCAGAATCATGCTGCCTACAGTTTCATCTCATTGATTTTTCCAAATAAGGGCACTCCCGTGCTAGAGCAGTCTTAAGTCATGTTCCTCCAGCTCATAATATTCAGCAAAGTCCATGTCTCTGTTTAGGATAAATTCCTTTCTTTATTCATAAAAAGTTAAGTGAGCTCCATTGACTTCTGATTTATGTTGTTTGCACAGTTTTCCTAAATAAAAACGAAAGAAACGATCAGCCTTCTTTTGTCTCTTTAGATTAAAACTTTGGAACAGACCAAAACCATCGAAGACTTAAATAAATCCAGAGACCAGCTGGAGAAGATGAAGGAGAAAGCGGAGAAGCAGCTCTCGACGGTCAGGGCAGAACTGGATATGGCAGGGCGGGAGGCCAAGGAGGGTAAGGAAAGGGCCAGACACATGCTGGAAGCAGTGACCAGCGAGATGAAGACTCTGAGAAGATCTCTGGAGGACGCAGAAAAGAGAGAAAAGCAGGTAGGCACAACTGCGGCAGGGAAATCCTGTGGGGACACAGCGGGACAGTTCAGAGGCTTGACGGTGACTCACTGGGATGCTTCACAGACTGTCACAGACTGTCACCCTGGCGCAGGGGCCACGCTACTCTTCTCAGTGTGATTCCAATTTGGTGGTGTGTGCTGCCAAAGACCACGGTATTCRCGCACGTTTCTTCAAAACCACTTTGTCAAGCTTTCTATATCATTCCAACCCATCCTCCTGCATCCTTTCGGCATCCCAATGACCATGAGGAATTGTCATGATTTGCAGTTCACGGTGGCATGGCAAGGTCTGTAGGAAATAAAGACAGGCTCTTATCACAGCGGTGACAAGCCGGTGAGAGCCCAGGTTCTGGTTGTGGCAAGGTCGTTTATTGTGTCTGGTGATGACCTCTGGGCTCTGCACCCTTCYGGTCCCTGAACATCAGCAGGGCTTAGAGACCTGGGGGAGAGGCCTCATCTCTGGAAGAGATCAGTGGCAGGAAATAGCCTCCAGTCTCAAACAGTGGCACCCAGACTTGTGAGTCCACCAAGCACAGATGTAAGCCATAAAAACGAACTCATGGCTGGCTGGCTGCAGGAGGAACATTTTATCTGGTGAGCACATCAGGTCAGGCATAAAGAAATATGTCCCGGGCAGCCTGACCCCCACTGCCTCTGGCTTTCATGTCACTCTCTTTCTGGAGCTCAAAAGGGCAGAGAGTGGACTCTGGTCCTAGGATTTTTTTTTTTTTCCCTCTCCCCTGCTCTTTGGCTGCCTCTGCTTTGGCTCAGATGTCAGACAGTTTGGGAAAGCCAAACCGTGAGAGCAAATGGACTCGGGGGAAACATCCTGGGAATTAAGAGCTCTGATCACATTCAAAAGGGTGGAGGTTTGAGGAAAACCTCTTCATCTGGGAGAGAGGCCAGGGCCTCAGTCTGCTGAGGTGCTGTGCGCCCAGGCTGTCAACTGGGTGGCTGGTAAACAAGACTGTTCCTCCTCACAGTTCTGGAGGCTGGTCCAGGTGCTGGTACAGGGAGCATCTGGTTCCTAGACGGTGTCTTCTCTTTGTGTCTTCACATGGTGGAAGGGACAAGGTAGCTCTCTGGGGACTGTTTTATGAGGGCACTAATCCTGTCCTGGGGACTCCACCATTATGATCTCATCGAAACCTAATTAACTCCCACCCAATTATCTGCACCTCCTGATACCATCACATTGGTGATTGTTTGCATATATGTGTGTGTGTGTGTGTGTGTGTGTGTGTGCACATGCACAAGCACAAACAGATCTATCATTACAGGTAGAGGGGTTGTTGCATTTCCCAAATTGGACTCTGCATGGGAAGGTGCTTGGGAAGCAATGGGCCCAGGGCAGGCTGTATGGATGGTGTTTTTCTAATGTGATCCATGTTCTGGTTGGATCACAGCTTTTCTAAAAACGGAAGGTAGCTTTAATGAGGTATTGTCCAGATAGCCCTCATTCACCTGTTCTGCATTGTCTTAGAACAAGAGAAAGCAGCCTAGGAGAATTTGAAGGGGTATAGGAAGCATATTTCAGCCATTGTTCCTGGTCTCCCATTTTCCCTTTCTCAATGGACAAATAATCCCACACTAGTCCAATGTGATGTTTTGAGGTGGCAATCTCTGTGATGTGATATGATACTAATTTAGAAGCCCTCCTGCTTWCTTGCTTTGTTCTTTTAGTTTAAGAAGTTCATTGTCCAGTTCACACTCCAATGCACAAACATTTATCATCCATTGACACCATGATACCAACATCTGTATATTTCCAGCTCTGTATTTCTACTGTGCAGAGCACATACATAATTATCATTTCATTTGWTCTGAATTTCAGAGCAAGTAAGTATATGGAGAAGAGAAAATGAAGCCTTAGGTCAGAGTCTCATTGATGGGTTCTCAACTGGAATTCTTGAGTAGCTAATCAATTWGCTCATCAGAAAAGTGGCTATGAGAATTGCTAAAGGGAGACCCTTGAAGAGACTTTAGAAGTCATTAGCAGGSAAGCCAACTTATTTTTTATAAGGCTAAAATGGGTAGGTAATTGACCTACCTTGTGCAGACCTGAGTTTTCCAGGTTTTATTATTTATCTTTTTGCTTTTGGTTGCACTTGACCCAGCAACAGTGGAGACTTTTTGTTCTCCCAGTTAATGTGTTTCTGTTTGATGTTGCAGCTGGCGGACTTCAGGGARGTAGTTTCCCAGATGCTGGGCTTGAACATGACCGCTCTTGCTCTTCCTGACTATGAGATCATCAAGTGTCTTGAAAGACTGATCCATTTACATCAGCATCGCCTTGTTTCCTGTGCCTGCCTCAAAGACATGACTTCTGGCAAGACAGGCACCCGCAAGGGCACTTAAAACTTCTTCGTTGAATGCTKGTCTCCAGAGGGAGGTGGAACTAAGACAGCACAATTCCTACTTTCACAATTTCCTCAAATCTGTGAGATGTGAGCAGCGTGTGAATAGRGTATGCTTTAATGGCCTAGCGAGGTTGCATCACTGGCAGAAAAGGTCTCAAAGGTGCCAGCCCTCGACAAATGTTTAGCACTGAAAACACCTATTATTCCACTTGCTAACACTTTGAGTCTCAGAATTATTCCATTACATTGCAATCTAGACTGGGAAATGGGAKTAGAGCATTAACATTGATGGGGTATCTTTTTTCAGCTGGGGTTCACTAGCCATTTTAATTCTCATAATAACCATATGGAGAAGCTTTCTTAAAGAGGGCCTCTAGAGACTGCATGCTATGGCTTCTACTTTGGAGCCCCTTTTCTGCTGAGTAGAGGAAGCAGTTTCTCTGTGTCCCTGGAGAAGATCCCCATGAATGCAGTCATGGATGTGTGTGTGTGTGTGTGTGTGTGTGCGCGCGCGCACACATACGGGAGGGCTCTTTTTGTACATTTTCTCTGTTTTCCACACATAATTTTTAACAAATTTTATTTATCTTCTTTATAAATTTATTTTCTACAGCATTCAAAGATATCTTAAATAGTACTTAAAAACATAAATGTGTTTCTGAGATTGATTTATTATTAATTATATAACAAGATTCATGTAAGAGGCTAAAAATAGYCTATAGTGGGTAGTACTGTACTTTCTCAGTAGTATATGAAATCATACTCCATTTACCTAAATATGTTTATGTAGGATTTCTACTGTAGRACTCAGTGTATATACAATAATCTTTAATATAAAAGGAAACATGTTCAAACCTAAGCTTTAGAGACTTTTAGTGGAAAGAGTATATAGAATAAGAAAAAGAAATCCTGACTATGCATACGGTTGGTTCATAGAGTGGTTGGACAAATTGCAAACCTGCTAGGAAAGCCATTTCCTCCTTGTTACGATGGCATTGGCTGTGGCCTCTCCCTCGGTGGCCCTCATTCCAGAGTTGGCAAGCCAGCTTCATGTTTTTATGTTCCATTTGTTGGTCTGTAATATCCATGTATATTTTATGTTGCCCAATAAAATGCATTAGATCGATGTGATCTTTTAGATGAGGCCTTAAAATATTTAAAACTAACTCTTCAACCAAATACACTTGAGTGAAATTGCTACTGGGGTATTCATTCTGGTCACTGAGACCTCTAAGTATCTGTATAAAGTTCCTCAGGAGGAAAGTGTGAACCCRATCTGTCTAAATTTCCAGTTTTACCTTATAGTCCATTTTACAGGGAGAATAGTGAGCAACTCTATTCCCTGAAGAGCTGTGGGTGATTCTGCAGTACTGCTACAGTGAATGCTTAGGACACAGAAGTGGGGTCTAGTTTTCACTGGGGCAGCGCTCCATGGTCATGTAATCTGTTACTTATACACCAGTGACCTTGTCTTATCCATGTTACTGCACTCTGCTCTCCGGTTCTCATCAGCAAGTATAATCTGGGTACTTCTCTTTCCCCTCTATGTCTTCCACCCATTACTCTATGTAGTATAAAAATCATTGCTCAATCAAAAGTACTCTACAATTTCATCTCACCCCAGCCAGAATGGCAGCTATCGAGAATACAAACAACAATAAGTGTTGGTGAGGATGTGGCGGGAAAGGTACACTCATACATTACTGGTGGGACTGCAAATTGGTGCAACCACTATGGAAAGCAGTATGGAGGTTCTTCAGAAAACTTGGAGTGGCGCCAGCATTTGACCCAGCTATCCCACTCTTTGGACTTAAAAGGACTTAAAATCAGCAAACTATGGTGACACAGCCATCAATGTTTATAGCAGTTTAATTCACAATTGCTAAACTATGGAACCAATGGCTGCTCTTCAACAGATGAATAGATAAAGAAAATGTGGACACAATGGAATATTACTCAGCCTTAAAAGAAGAACGAAATTATGGCATTTGCAGGTAAATGTATGGAGCTGGAGCAATTATACTAAGCAAAATAAGCCAATCCCAAAGAACCAAAGGCTGAATGTTTTCTCTAAATGTGGATGCTAATTCACAATAAGGGGCAGGGCTAGGGAAGAATAGAGGTACTTTGTTTTGGGCAAAAGGGAGTGAAGGAAGGGGAGGGGTTATGGGAGTAGGAAGGATAGTAGAATGAATTGGACATTATTACCCTATGTGTATATATGATTACATGACTGGTGTGATGCTACACCATGTACAACCAGAAGAATGAGAAGTGATACTCTGTATATGTCTGATGTGTCAAATGCATTCTACTGTCATGTATAACTAATTAGAACAATTTTTAAAAAACCGTTGCTCTTTGGAAGCTCCYGCTAACTGCTGTATAATTTTCATTTGTCTTTATTGTTTTACCTAGTAATATGCTAACTATTCTCCCAACTTAAGAATTTTTTTTATAAAATAGTTCCAAAGTGTCTTCTCCACCCTGCTGAGTGCTGTCTTATTCCTGGGTGGCATTAATGTTCATGAGGTCACCTATGCAACATTGTATCTGTTGTCTCTGGGTCTTCTCAGCTCTCCTATCTTCCCTTCCTGTTTAGTCAGCTCTTTCACTACTGTGACTAAATGACCTGACCAGAACAATGGTAGAGAAGGAAAGTTCATTTGAGGGCTCATGGTTTCAGAGGTCTCAGTCCATAGAAGGCTGGCTCCATTCCTTGGGGCTCATTACTTCCTTGGAGCAGAACATCATGGTGGAAGAGTGGGCAGAGGGAGGCAGCTCACATGAAGCAAAGAGAGAGAGAGAGAGAGAGAGAGAGAGAGAGAGAGAGAGAGAGAGAGAGAGAGAGATCTACTTGCCAGATACAAATATAGTTCCCAAAGTCATGCCCCCAATGCCCACCCCCTCAGCCACACCTCACCTGCCTTCCGCCACCACTCCTTTAATCCCATCAGGTGATCAATTCACTGATTGGGTTAAAATTTTCATGACCTAATGGTTTCTTTTCTCTGAACTTTCTTGCATTGTCTCACATGTGAGCTTTTGGGGGATACCAATCCAAACCATAACACCTCTTATTGTTTTAGCCACTCACACCTTAGACTGCAGTATGTAGGAGTGTAGACCACCTGAAGGTGGAAAAAGAACTTTGAGGGCTTATTTGAAAGGTTCAGCTTCAGCTGGGTAGATTGAGGGATTCAAAACTTTTATCGAGATTCTTTTTGCTCCTCTTCACCTCTCATCTCCATCATTGGCTTGTCTTGTCATGTTGGTCTCATTTTCTCCATTGTGACAGGAAAGACGGGCTTTCCAACTGTGTTAGTTCTTTTGTCACTGTGGCAAAATACCTGAGGAAAAGCACTTAGATGAGCACATATTTATTGGCTCATAGTTCCACRGGTTTTGGCCCATGGTCCACTGGCCCATTGTTTTGGCCTGAGGAAAGGTAGAACGTCATGGTGGAAGGGTGTAGTGAAGGTGACCTGTGCACCCCATGGCAGAGAGCTAGAGACTGGGGACAAAAGTACTCTTCTAGGAATGCCTTCCATGACCTGCTTTGTCTAACTGAGCCTCACCTCCTAATATGAGCTAATCAACAGATTTATCCATCAATGGGGTTAGAACCTTCGTGAGCCAAGGTGCAGCACTTCTACATGTTGCTGCACTGGGACCAGACTTTCAACACATGAGCTTTTGGGGACCTTTTAGATCCAAACCATAATAATAATAATCCCTGAGCTGAGAAAAAGGACTTGTCTCCAAGCATCTGTGTGAGAGATCTTACAGAGGAGCCATCTCTTCTTGTCATGTAACCATCCCTGACCCCTGACTGGAGCCAGGGGATGARCCCACCTGCCTACAACTCATGCCAACCCTGCAGTGAGGCCAGGCAGGGTGAGGTGTACGATGAACTGCTCAATCAGGACCACCTGTAATGACAGATGTTGCCCGCGAGCGCACACGTGCACACACACACAAACACACAAACGCCCCACTCACATCAGAACCTCCCARTGACCTCGACCTCTCCAGCTCTGGAATCTTTAAAAAATGTTGTTATTAACACGTATTAATTGTACACTTTAGTGGGATTCAGTGTGACTTTTCCGACATTCCCACATAGGCACACAGCATGCTGTGATTGAAATTGTAAGTTAAAATCTCCACCAACTTTGTTCATCCCAGACTTTTACGGCCCACTCCCACAAAGCCTTTGAGTTTCCTTGGTCCTCCTATTTTCTCCCTCCTTGCCCTGCCAATCTTCAGTCCATCTGGAGCCACCTAGAGATGATGGCTCATTTCTTCAATCATTCTCTTCCTAATACCTTCAACTTCCTGTCCCCGTCCTTTCTGTCCTCAACTTTGAAATCATCCCAACTACCAATGTTTCTGCTGTTTTTTCCTGCCCCTATTGAATGAGGCTGGAGAAAATCACATGAAATCACAGCTAAGTGGCATCCCAAATTCATGACCTCGGGCCCCACCGAGCCCTCTGTGCTGACTGGTAATACTGCCGTGTTTTCCTGGTTAGCTCTTACTGCCCATTTTCCAAAACTACTATTGCAAATATTCTTCTCTTGCTCAAAGCTCTTATCCTCTCTCTTCCCTCTCAGTGGATAATCTCGTCTGTGATTTCACTCAGAGAATAGAAGCCATTACAGGAAACACCTTCTCTTCCGCACCCTCCTACAGCCTTCTGTGTCCACACCCATCCTCCCTCTCCCCCTCTCGGCTTATGTCCTCTGTCAGGGCACTAGAGTCCCCGGCAACTTATTCCATCAATTATTTTCGTCTGTTTTCAATATTTTCATCCTTACCTTTGTTAGTAGCTTAATTCCATCAGCCTTAAAATATGTTCAAATCTCTCTTATCTTGAAAAATCACTCCCTCTATTCATGACAATTCTTCAAGCCTTGCCTCCATCATCTTCTTTATAGTCAAGCCCCTTGAAATTGTCCATTGMATTTCTATCTTTCTGTCTCAACTCCCAGTCATTACCTCCTCCCTGCA